ACTCGATAGATGTGATAGATGTGATTAAAATTGTCAAATAATGCGATTTCACTGTAATCCTGTGTGACATACATAACTTCTATACATTAAGACTGCAACAGGAAAAGTTTGCTGAGATGAAAGTGTTTAAAACAAACTGGCACAATTCATCAACGGTCACTTACGTCTTCCTGACTATGACAATTTTGACCATTTCTCTCGCCGTGTCCCGGTATTTAGCAGAGTAAAAATGCTCTCTCGCACCTATCAACGTGCCTACGTGGACAGTACGAATGACTCTCGACCATCAATCATCCCATTTTCCTACGTGCGAGGCTCTCACGTCTCGATGCGTTCTTCGGCGCAGCGGTTGCATACCGTAATAAATGTACCCACTGCGCGTACACGGCGCGTATTAGCGTGCGAGCCCGTACTTATTTGCGTGACAAAGCGTGATATTCAGACACCGGCATGTTCGCAATACGCTTCGCCGTTAGCTATTATTCGTGTCGCACGAACGGCATTCGATGCTGGGCATGGCGATGCACCCGGAGCCTAAGGCCACCGATATCGGTATGCCATGCCGCAGACGTGCGCAAAGGCCTCCTGGAGCGATTCGTTTTTCCGAATGTATACCGTTAAAGGCTCGCCACTGCTGGTGGAAAAGAATATATATCGCGATAGGCAAAAGCGTAATAACACGACGCGCCACGATCATCCTTTTCCCTTTCGAAACCGGCATTCATGTATTTACTATGATACGCGCTATTTGGCATGTTACGGATAATTTGACACTTCGTCGAAAGTTCGTTGACCGACCCAGGCAATCTGGAGTGCAAGCAGCAGACCTCTCTAACATTTTTAGAGAGTAGTAAAAAGAAAATAATATTTCGATCTATTCGGAAAGATTGTAGGCACAGATGAATGCGATGACGTAGTAAATTGCATTAAGACTAAAGATTCATGCTCCGGAGAAAGCATAATTGGATATGAGAGTAACCGTTTCCTCTGACGATCCAGGAGAGTTGGGTACATTAAGCTGGAAGTGAGTGGAAGCGGAACGGCTTTTAATGTAAAATCCGAATCACCCTCCCCTGCTCCCTCTCCACCCGCGGTTATCCTCTACCCACACAGGCGCAAATTCAACGCCGTCTGATGGATGCGAGGTAATCGCTGTACTTGAACTCTGCGTGCACTCGGCGGGTGCTTTTGATTTCGATACACGGAGCCGGTAAATACCCGCCCACCAGGACATTCGTGGAGCATTATCTATCCGGGGAAGGTTGGAAATTTCCGTGGTGTGGCGCATGGGCGCGGTCATTGCGGCAGGATCTTTTTTACTCGATGGAAGCTCGTTAAACCCGAGCTCCATCAGAGACGGATTACGTACTGCTTCGCGCTAGACAATTAAGTCGGGGCGAGCTGATTGTATCCCACGCTCGCGCGCTGCTACGTTCTCGTATCCTTTTTTACCGCTCCGCGAATCACCAACGGGATAGATCGCACTGGTAATGTAATCAGCGGTCTGCGTACCGGTCCGCCCGAGTCACCGGCGTTCGTGATCAATTACATCAGAGAGACGCTTATGTAAACGTCAATACACTCGCCTTGCGCCCTTAGCAACATCGTGCGAGCATGGGCTCCTTTGATACTTGCGATTCAATCGAGACCGATTACATTTGATCTGCGTTAAATTGATCAAACAACCACAGGTAGTTCCGTTAATGCTTATGCTAATTGTGATTTCCTCGCGCCCTTTGGTCTGTAATTGGCGAAACGGAGAACGTACCTCAAAATATTAAAGTCAAAATGTTGACAGTTCTCTCTCGTTGAACGACAATTTATAACTAAAGTTGCTAATATTATTTAATGCTAACAGATGTATAACATATATAACTAAATGTACAATATACAATTTTATTAGAGTTTTTGAACACAAATAAAATCAAATATTATATAATCAAAATCCAGAGAGAATTGCGACATCATTTATCATAGGCGTGACACATTTGTCATTTAAATGACAATGTAGACAATATAGAATAGAATATTCATTTAGCTGACGCGAATATTTTGAATATTTCCCGATGCCCGCAAAGGAAATTGAATTAGTCGTCGTTTCCGGGAATAATCTAATCGTGACACTCGCTGGAGTGATCCAATCTGTTGGTGGCACGCTCGCGCATGGAAATTTATCGTATCTGATATAACTCTTATCATCGCCGCGGATCTAACATATACATTGCCGATCGCAGCCTTGTAATAACGCGTTCGATCGTAACACTAACTTATACGCCATAGTCAGATAGAATCTTCAGTTTGCATAGGCTACTAAATGAGTGTGAATTAAGATATCGTTGTTCTTTTTTAGAAGAGCTCGAATCTCGAGTCGGATCGATAGATTATTATCGTGAATGAGTGAACGCTGTGTAAAATTCTTAAGGCTGATGGAAACCATCAAAATTCCAACATTGATTATTTTGACATTTAAAGTTCGAGCCAATATTTTGTTTTAAATAAAATTTAATCAAAGTTAATCGCAAAATACAGTTTTGCAACAATTCTTCAACAATAATTTTTTGGTTGTATTTAACGTGAGGTTTAATTCATTAAAATTTTTAAATTGGAATTGCTTATAATTTAATAACTATTTTTATATTTTGGAATATAAATATAAAATGTATATTATTAAAATAATCTTCTCCTAGAAGGTTTTACTTGTAATAGGTACCTGTGAGATCACTGTATTCTTAGAAAAGATGAGGTAAGCTATCTTGATAATAGTTATTGCATATTGTTGGTTTATTAAAATATCAGTGATCTTTCACTTAGAAATCTGCGTAACGATTGACTATTAATCATTACGCTGCAACAGAATTACATAAGAAACGATCCCGCGAATAATCCCGTGAATTTCATTACTACTGTGCGAAGGAATCTCGGTTGAAGAATTTATAGCCTCTGATGTATATGCATCACTTGACGATGTGCATAACATCGTCGAGTTATTAGAACGCGCGTACGTGTAGATCCCATAGTTTGAAACCTTTTAAGCCGAGAAAAATAAACGTTTTACGGTCTAAGAATAACTGAGCGCGATGCATAGGATGTGCAAGTCACATGCAACCGAGACGAACGCCGAGAGTTGTCGTCTCGTGGTTTGTAGGAAGTCTTTGTCGACATTACAAATGAAAATAGGTGTACATTGCGATTAGTACAATTTTTTCTATAACTTATGACTTTGTCAGTTTGACTAATGATTGATTTATGTAATAAATGCTATATATCGAAAGATTTGCAGTGATCGTTATGGTACTGCCGCGCATTCCATTATATTGCATCATTAATCACGGGCTCGGTTGTAGCACCTTTTTTAGATATGAAACACGATAGTTCTTATTCTGTCCACTAACATCGACAATCTCAAAGGCTGATATAAACGTGCTGGCAGAATTAAGCAAGCGCAAGAAAATCTAGGCGAATCTATGACGAAACGTATATTTTTACACTTTGGTCCAAAAATAGGACGGCAAAATGTAACGAAGAATTTACTATTAATAATATTGAATAATGATACTGTATTTATAAGTATTTACCAATAATAAATATTTTTAAATAGTAGATATTAAAGAGATAAAGTACAATATAGATCAGGTTTATATTTTATTTTATAAAATGAAAAGTAACGTATTGTGTATTTAAACCGGTTATTTTTAATGACATAATGATTTTGAATCATTACCAGGTGTGGTTACAATGGTAATTGATGAAACTCGAGCATACCAGAGAGTGATTTTTGTATTATATTTTTCTATCGGTGTATGTGTGTGTGCAGCAGGACCGTTATGTCGACACACGTTTCGTGCTTTTGCTCTTTAACTGAAGCGGGTAACGTTGAATTAAACGTCGGAAGAGGGAGGGTGCTTGTAGCGAACTACAAAGCGATAATTATAACGTGCTCTCCCGTGTACTCTCTCATAATCACCCGAATTATATTTGGTTGAATAGTTACGACTACGTTCTCTCGATATTACATTGAAATTTGATGATTCTCTTCAAAGCACCACACGCGAACTTTCATAAATTCTGATCTGCAATATTTTTATCAAATGTAACTATTCGTCATATCGGAAAATAGTCGAAGATAAATAAATAAAATTCGTAACGTGAGTAATAACATAGCGTATACGTAATTTTCGTTGCACTATAACTATGTACGATATACGGGATGTAAAAAAAGGACATATGAATTTTTTACTGTACAGTTAACTCTAAATAAAGTACATCTGTGTGTAAACACTTCACACAAGATTTACGATGCCGTAATAATCTAAGAGGCGGTTTATGAAAACTATTTACGGCCCGTTCACCCTAATCGTCTCTCGACGCTGCTATGCGAGCACATGATCTATCGATTGCAGTGGCTCTCGCTTTTCATTCGGAGGTTCATCTGACAGCTGTAAACTTTCGCACTAAACGCGGACCGCACCGTCAGGGTTTTCGACAGGTTGACACCACTCCCCAGACAATAAGAACGACGACAGATGCAAGAGTCTTTTATGTCCTATTGTGCTAACGCGCTTTATGGCAATGTTTGTTTCATCATGAATGTTGAACATTTTCTGGACCGTTAGAATATGTATTTATGTGGTCATGGTGATCTCAAGTGCGTTTAAAGGTGCATTAAAAAAAATTTATTTTAAACTGAACACACAAAAATGTACCTCAGGTGGCATAAAAACATATAAGTTTTGTTTTAAACAGTTTTAAACCGAAAAATATGAAGAAATTTATAATATTATTAAACGTAATATTAATAAAAAAGATTTTAATTATTATAAATAACGTAAAATAACGTAATATATATGAGGAGATATGAATATGTATGTATGTCTATTATATTTTTTACTCATAAAATTGGATATTTGATTTTTTAAATTCTCTTTTTTACATTTTTTATGCACTTTAATAAAATACAGATTACATAAATTATACTACAATTTAAACTTCTTATTCTTTCTTCGAAAAATCGAGATTACAGAGCGTCTACTACTTCTATATTTTTTCTTCGGCGTATATCAATTTGAAAATGACTAAAATATAACAATATATACGATTATGTTGGTAACTAATATCTGTGCATTACAATACATCTCTGTCGACATATCCTTATCGTCTCGACAGCACTTTTCATGGCGTGATGGCACGCAGATCAACCACAGAAGTCAAACATTCGTATGCAGTTTTGCGGTTCCTCTGGCACGAACGTGCACGTAGGAAGTACGTAAAGGTGCACGACTGAAAAACGACACCCCGTGTGTGTTGCGCATAAATAACGCGTCGTGGCTCAAGGGTCGAGAATCGAGTAACCACTGAGGGTGCGTCTCCTCATCTTCTTCCTGCGTCCCGACTGCTTCCACCGATCATAAATCACTCTTTATATACGTTTCAACGCGAGATTGTGCTCTCGTAAAATCATTCTTCCCTCCACGTGGTTATCCCCGACAAAAAAATGTGACCGCGAATGCGGTTGCCAGCGCTAGCCCTCTCACGATTCTCATTGGTATCCTCGGCTCTCGGCCTGCGGCAAAGAATTTGTTATAAAAGATAACTGCGAACACTAAACGACTTAATAAAATTGGATGTAACAATTGTTTGCGGCTTGCAAAATTGGAATCTCATTTATCGTAGTTTTTGCGTAAAATGTCGTTATTTGTGTCGTTATCGCTTTAATGTACTTTCAAATGTTTGCACAACACACGTACGAAATATTAAATTCCTGTTTTGTTTGAGAAAATATCTTATTATCGTCATGTAGCAGATTATCCATCGTAGCCATGTAACATAGTCTACAATTTGGCGCGATTACGTTTCACGAAATCTATTTCCAGATCATGTTACTCTCACTTACAAGTATTATTTTCTTACCCATGTCTGTATTCATATTACTCGAGTTTTCCACTTGCACTGCATCAATCGCATTGGGCCGTCGCAGTTTCACATCACTAGATTTAGCAGTTTTATGAATTATATTTGGTATTGATGTCTTCTTTGTTTGATTTACATCTTGATTAATTTTCAATGATGACATACCACCAATCGGTTCTTCCACTAATGCCCTGTGAAAAAAAATTTATAATTAAAAGTTTAGTTGTGATTGATAACACCGGAACAATGGACTGAAGTAAATGAAGTAAATATGGTTTTTAATATAGAATTTGTCTACTTTATTACGTTACTTAATCGTAATAAAGAACAATCACATTAATGTGCAAACAATATTTTTCTAAAAGAAAACTAGCATTAAAAAATATGTATAGATATCAATTTGCATATCTAAAAATTTTATTTACTGATCTGCATAAATTTAAGTATGATTTATATTTAACTATAATTAGTTTCATTTATAATTACTAAGTTGTTTAACTTATTTAACTTAATTTATAATTAAACTACAATAAAGTTAAATATACAAATATAGATAACTTAATACAAATATATAATTACGGAATACGTTCACACTCAGCCTGATGTCGTGGCCAATCTTCCAATTGACAAGCTTTGCTACAATAATACGTACGGCATTTTTCACAATGTTTAGTTGTTTTCGTGGAACAAACGGAGCAGCTTTGTACTCCATTCTTAAGCTTATCGTCGCAGTATTCATGTAATCCCTGCAAAAAATAAACATTAATACTCAATTATTTCTCTAACATAAATTATATCATTAGTTAAATCAATTTCAACAATGTAACACATTTTTTCTAACTTTTATATTAATCTTATATCTGCGTAATTTCGTACGTTCTTTCGTTGTTCGTATATTTTTGAAATACATTCTTCAATCTTAGGATATGGTTCTGGATATTCATACATCGTATAACCGCGTCCAAGAGAAACGTGTCTTTTTCCATCTGACGTGACAGTCATCACACCCCTGAAATAAGAAGCCATGTAAAATACAGTAAATTTAAACAGTTGTTACATTGTATTGTATTTGTTCAACCTTGTCCATAATTTATTTGTGCTCCCATAAGGATCTTCAACCTCAACCTCATGACCTCCAAGTATTTGCGAGAATGAAGGCAAAGATGATCCATAGTTTACATATCTGTATGGTACTGCCCCTGGTTGTGGCAACACATGTTTACGGAGTGCATTTATCACTTGACCACGACCCATGGCCATATTCCGACTAAGATCAAATATGTATTATATTATATACATTATATACGATTACATTCTCACACTATATACATAAAAAATATATACACATATTCTCGATTTCAGCTAATAATTGATTTATATTTAATATAAAAAATATTTTCTATTACTTGAAACGTGATTGATATCATATATCTCTTTCAAATATTTTATAACACTATTTATTTATACGTATAAAAAAACCAAGATAAAACATGCTTAAATACTAATTTGATCATATTTGATCGTAACTATTTTAATATTCCAATAATTGCTAATGTTGATAACGCTTACTATTTTATATCGTTGGGAATATAAGGCGGCGAATCTGCAGTGTTTACTACTTTTGGTTTTTCAAGAGTTTTAGATAAATCTGATTTTTGCTCTTCCTTTGTAGAAGATCTCTCCTTTACAAATGACACTTTTAGATACAATGGTTTTTTATTATTGAGTTCTCGTATAGCAAGTTCGGCCTCACGATATGTTCCATACGTAACATAAGCCCACGTAGCATTACGAAGACAGAACATTGCAGTGATTTCACCATACTGACTAAAAATATCTCTGATGGCATCCTTAAAGATCATCACGTTTCATGTTATTAAATAAATAGATATCTTAATCTCAAAAATATAGATATATATCTAATATTAATTTCAAAAGTATGACTACAATATGTAATTTGTGAATCAAGTTGTTACTAACAAAGAATGTTTTAATAATTATAATTTACAACTAAATAGATCGATGGATCATACCTTATTGAACTCTCTTGGCAAACTTTTCACATGTATCACGTATTCTGTGTCCATCCTGTAAATACAATTAAAAATATAAAAAAAAATTGTCTGCAAGATATAAATTTACACAAATTATCACCCCATTAAAGATATGGAGTTAAATTAAAAGGAGTGTAATGGAAGCCATGCACCACATGGTATTTGTAATTTCAAATATATATATACATATATCACATTATTAGCTGATACACTTCTCAAGTTACACAAGATCTAAGAGCGCATATTACAAAAATATTAAATATATAATATATAATTTAATATATGATTCTCTTTGATTATGCAACGTGCCATTCCAAGCAGATTGCATTTATTCAATTTATGCTTTCTTCGTTCTTACCGATCAACAAGCGGCATTTGCTCGGCATTCGTATCACCATCGAAGCCATCGAAGTACGCCATATTGCGCACAATGCTAATTTCACGTTTGCAAAGTTGTAAAGGATCAAAATTTCTTCCTCTTTTACAATACGTAGTACCGGAAGAATAATAATCTTCCACAGGAGGCCGTTCTTCCACTGCTCAGACAACAGCAACTGGAAGGCGTGATTATTATATTCACGCACGCGGCCACAGGATAAACATCAAAGGACACTGGTTGACCTGCAAGACCAGTACAACGTTAACGCTATGCGATGGAAAGCCAGGGCTCAATTCTCTAACGACAAACGTATGTGTAAACTCTGCTCTAATAGAAAAGCTGCAAGCTCTTATTGGCTAAAAACTGTGCGATAGCCAATCAATTTGCAGCCTTTCTGTTAGAGCAGAGTTTACGCATACGTTTCTCGTTATCAGAATCGGGCCCTAGAAATACGTAAAAAAAAAACCATTAACGCGGGGAAAAAGAGCCGTAGAGCAACACGTTCACGCAACCGTGCAACTGCGTCTATAACAGAAAACCGCCTATGAAAGAAGATACGAACGGTTTGAATGGATGAATCTGATGAATCTCCAAGAGGCAAGAAATAGCGGGAGACGCAACAACACACACACCTCTGGTTCTGAACTCCTGTCTCCTGCACACAGGATGCTGAAACGCTCGCTACGCGGTAACGCGATATAGGAAGGGTAATAGTAGCCAATAAAATTAGTTCTTACGAAAAAATTGCACGTTGATTGGCTACCGCGTCGGTTCTTGCTCGTCCTTTCGGCTCCACTTTCTGCACTCAAATCAAAACCAACGCCCTTCGAGTTCGGCGAAGTGAAACAATAAAATGAACAAACGCGGTTTTAGGCGCCCAGAGGACAAATATCTCGTCAAGCGCTAGACATATTACGTTGCATCTTTCTCACGTTGCATCGCTTCGAGAGTCGCGAAACCACGAGATCTTGGAATTTGACCTTCTCACGAACGATTTAGGTGCATGTTTTCCCGCGCATGCAATATATCTGCATCTATGTGGCAATAAGGATCACGGCCGATCTATAAAGTGGCCAATAAAAATCGATAGATAGAAATCGAGAAGCGCATAAAGCGAGACTATAGATCGGATTGATCGATCATGCTTAGAGCCATCGACCTCGATCCGATTCGGGGTTCGATCTTTTCTCATATTTTATAGTATTTCTTCATGCGTGTCTTCCTGATGAAAATGGCCTTCAGGAACTCCAGAGCGAAACTCCAGTAATCTCTGAGAACGGAATACGATGCCGTAAAACATATATTCAAAGATAATCGTAAATGAGTTTTCCGTGTTAATAAATTTTAATTACTTTGCCTAATAGATATGTAGGATTAATTTCAGTTTTAAATTAATTAACTTAGCGTTTAACGAGACTAAAAGAATCTCGTGTGAGCTCACTTTCTGAACTTGATCTTTCTCGCTTCTAGGAAACGGATGATTTTCCTGCAAGCAATGTTTTTTTTTTTTCATAATTAAAGGATGTTTGGTCTTAATTACTTACAAGCATTGCTGATGGGGCAGTAATTTCGCGCAGCGAATAACTCTATGTGAAAACGCATCGAATCAACGTTCATGGTGGAAATTACAACTTACGCGACTACTCGCCTGGAGTAATCTTGATGAGGCGCCACGAATAAAATATGAGAGATCATTAATATGATCCTTCAGTCTAACGACTGCGTTTTACGACAAGTGCAGGTTTCGCGTTTCCTGCCTCCTCGGCTGAAAAGGACCCGCGACCGCGGTGATTCCGTCGAATCGCGCGATATTTTCCGTAATGAAGCCCTACGTTCTTCGTTAAAGTTTCCTCGGCCGTAAAAGATCCGTCGAGTGTAGGAGGTAAAATCTCGCGACGATTAAGGCGCCGAGCACGATCTCCACGTCGATGGGAGAGAGACGCGCGATCTACGTCGAAATAGGGAGAGAGAGCTCTCGCGTGGCGACCGAATGCAGACGACTTATAGCGGAGAGGTACTACGACCTTTACCGCCGCGGAATGCAATATCTCGGGACACTTGGGACGCCGTTCGTGGCTACGGCGATTATCGATTTCACGTACGCGACCGGTACCAGGTTTTCATCGCGAATACCTGCATTTCTGCGGCTAATCGCGCGGCGCGCGCTCGAAAAGGCAGGAAGAGGAGAAGTGAAAGTGGTCGGGCGCGGGAGGGAAAGTAATAAAAGTACTCTTGAACTTTGCAATAACGCGATTGGTGTCGAAACGTTCTGACCGAGGCGTATTTAAGTGCGCCGTTGCGCATACAAGACGACTCGTAAAGAAACGTGGATGCGCGCATATTTTCACGTATGATTTGAATAAGGATGCATTCAACAGATTTTATCGCAATGGCAGTTGTATCATACACGATACGTCCACTGTTTTATATCTTTATGTCTTTTGGATTGGTAAAGATAATTCTTATTTTTATATTTCAGCAATTAAATATATTATTTAATAAAGTATCGCCAATGTAGCGGAAGTTTTTATATTTCTAAGAAGGGAACAACAGGGGGGTGCATTATAAGCTATTATAAAATGACGTGATTGTATGTAATAACGTACTTTCTCTGTCTTTAAATGCCGGACTTAGGCACGCTGTCTTATTATATTTTATTGCATAAATATATATACGTCATGGCATGCGATCGAAAGTGAAGTAATGGTCCACTATTGTATGAAACATTCTGTATTGAATCATTACACATATTTGTTTTCTTAATTACAATATTGCTCAACCTCGATGCATTTCTCTTTTTCTCATAAATTGTTCGAATTAACGCGTACTCGATTATTCCGTTTTTCTTTATTAATGAAGAATGCCCGCACGTTTATCAACCGATACATTTTCTACTACAATTTTCTTCATGCAAACGCGAGAGACGTTTAACGTTGTGTCAATCATCAATTAGCGAGATAAATGGAGGAAAGATAAATTGAATGTCTCGATACAAGGTCAACGAACATCGCTTCTGCGATTATTCCACTTGTAATCGTGATTTTTATTATTTTTTTTATAAAGATAAGTAAACGTTCGCTGCAATTCATGTATCTTATTTAATAATTTTAACATAAACTTTTAATTAAATGAATATAACTGTGATTATGTGAAAATGATTGCATTATTAGCGATTTGAAATAACATGTTACAGATGTAACTATAGATCTTTATATACTATTGTACTAGTCTTGTCATTTCATGACTATTCAATGATACTTTGACTCCATTCTCCCGAGGTTTTGTTTAACTTATTTGCCACAATCATAAATCGAGTCAAATGGGACAAAGCGAAGTGTTCGTGGATCCTCGCGAATAAGATGATGCATCTCAGACTGCACGTGCGGCATAACGACGCGCGCGTAACTCTACCTTTTCTGTAGCGTGCAATAGGATTGCAATAGGAGAAAGTATCGTGACAGGTGATTTGTTGTCGCTGGAAGTGGCATGGCATCGCGGAGCCATTCTCGAATACAAAGAACGAAATCCTCCCGGCTATTCCGGTTTGAAAATAAGAGGTCGTTGCATCGCGTCACCACCCGAAATTTGCATCTGGAATTGAGTTGCACGGGAAAGGAAGCCCGTGAGCATAACTTTCGAAATGCGTTTGCTATTCGTGTCCTAAGCGTATGTATCCTCCAATAGGAAGATTCTTCGTGATTTACCGCGATGAAAGTTTCTGCCATAAATATTCAATGCCGCGAGCGTAAACGAGTAACATCTATAATTTATAAAATCGCAATTATTTCAGAAATCTGTAGTTTTTCCTTCCCTGAGCAAACTTTCCAGCGTATTTGCGGGAAGATTATTCTTCAGTAATGACCATTTGATTGCGTCTTTTTTTGCAACGTTTCCTACATGGTATTTATTTACTTAAATGTTTACCGCAGCTTTTGTTTTATAATAAATTCCATTTTCTACTTTATTGCTGAGCCATTAATTTTTTCCTCTATAATTATATCGCTGTAGAAACTACTTTTGAGTGCTTGACCGCGACTAACACGGCGGAATCTGTCGCGGAACTGTCAATCGTTCTCTTTTACGTGTCACACATTCGTATCTCTGTGGATGTGCGAGGAGAGTCATTGTTGATAATGCAGTAATGCTTACTACATCGTCTTGCTGAACATCGGATTTAACGAGTGCAATGTCGTCCGCATTTTGCTGCGATTTTTTTTGCACGACATTCCGTGTTGGTCAACAACCTGTTGCAGTGATGAGCAATCGACGTACTGTGATCTGTTTAACCATATCAACAGGAAAGTTTCCGGCAATTATTTACGATCTCTCGAACGTAAAACTAGGAAAACCGTTCGGTAATCGACTAACCGTCAGCTAGCGTGTTTTCTAATGGCGTCGTCTTATCGTTCGTTAAACAGTCAGGAAAATGTTTCAAGTACCGGTTGAACCACCAGTATAAGCGAGTCGAGAAATATTCTTGACTTAAAAGCCCGCCCATACCTATAAACGATACCGTATGATTACTTTGACGGTTAATTAACGTGGTTTAATGAAGCACGTAAAGACTGTTGGAGAGGAAGATTAAGAGCCATTTCAAAGGTTCGTCGCAATGTACGATAACAATTGAATAATATTGCAGCCACGTGTCTTACGTCATTTTTATTTCTTACTGCATATTAATAGCCCCCAACTATCGAATGGCAGAAGGATAGATCAATTTAAATCGACTGCGTCGGCATGCTGGCGTCGCAAATAGAATGTCGTATAATGCTGTCGAAAGAAATTGTTCTAACTCATGCAGTCATGCATTATAAAGGCAGTAATTATAGAAACCAAAACGTTAAATATTTAAAAAATTTTATGAGCTTTAATTTTCGGATAAATAATCTAATTAAAGACGCTACGAAATTTAAATATGCTCAGAATTATCATTATCTTTGTCGTACGCGCGTAAATAATCATATTATCGATTAAATACCTGCAGTTGCTTGTAAACAGGTCGAGTAGTTTGAAGTAGAAACAAATAACTTGCGACGTGCTTGAATCATAAGATGGAATTCAATTTGTTAGCATACCACCGCTGCACGAAGCGCGACACATATATGGCCGATTAAGTCGGACCAAAGACTACCGTGATCAAACAAAATGTGAGTCATTGCATTCGCTTCATAGACGTTCATTGCAATTCATCTATAATTAATTACGCTGCAGGATGCTAAGTGCCCTCGATGCACTGACTTGCATTTTTGCCGCTTGCTCACCCTTCGCGGCCTCTGGTCCCATTCTCTTTCGCATATATCGATTTCACACATCGGCTCACGTCCGCGTTACGCCAAAATACACAATTGCAGGCGATACCCAGAGAATCGCCGCGCGCGCCAGCTGATAATTATTTCCAGCCGTCGATCGTGAAGACACGAATCGTCTTCGCGCTTGCGAAAGATCATGATGCGCGCATCCTTGATGATCGAGAGGGATGTGTTAATTAGGTACTTTCATTGCATTCGAAAAGAGAAATCGCAGTCGGGTCCTTCCGAGACAACTGGGAGTAATCTCTGTCTAAAACAGGGACTTTCCATTCTCGACGGATACGGATGCGGCGTGCTGCCGTAATTAGAAAGTATAATCGACGCCGTGTGTTCAGCGTGTTACCGGGGGTCTTTGTCCGTGCGCCTACGAACTTCCTTGATATTAATTGACAATCTATTATGATAATCAACGATACGTGTCAATTAATGAACGCACGAACATAAGCATGACCGTTCGCAAGCGAGTCTACGTGTCCGCGAGATTGGTCACGTTTTAGCTAATCTGGTTTCACGCTCCAACAATTACGCTCCGAGAGAGGCGCCTTTCTACATTCCGCCATAATAATCACCTCAGTCCTAAGATCATTCATATCTACTAATGTCACGTTAGAATAATTATTACGGATTTGTAGAATAATTTCGGTATAATTTGCATATTTAATAATCGATGATGACGACGTCTCAAGCTAGGTATTTATGATTGATTTGCATCGTCTGCGCTTTTTTGTATACAGTAATGCAGCAATTTACGTGTTAGTCGAATGCAATTACCGTAATTTATCATATTTGATTATACTTATTTATATTCAATATAGTTGCGTGAGAAAATTGTTATACGGTTTAAACAATCATGTCAGAGACTTGAACTTATATGTGCATTTCCAAACAAGCGCAAATCCCGAAATCATCGTGAAAGTGTAATTGTTCAATTGCACTTTCATATTTAAAAGACCATCAAATTCCAAAATCATCGTGAAAGTGTAACTATTTAATTGCACTTACATATTTAAAAAAAAAACATCAAACAAATACCGTGAAATAAGATATTCATTTGCTTGTTTTTTTAAATATGCAAGTGCAATTAAATTAAACAAGTACACTTTCACGATGATTTAGGGATTCGATGGTCTGGATATGCACGTCGTAATGAGGGCAACAATAAATTAACAAGTCATTGGCAAACTTTCTTAAAAATGCGGGTTGATTTTCTCGTGTAGATAAACAATTAACAACTCGCCGAAACACGCGAAACGCTCTTCGGAAGCGGAAATAGAGAATACGATATCACGTGTGGACTTTTAAAGGACTGTACCGCAAGATAATGGCTATTGGGTATATATGAAATTTAATAATCACCCTTATGTGCACGCGCGCGCATCTACAATGCGTGAAAGGGTCGCACGCCTATTCGGAGAGGATTATACCCTGTGCCGAAACGCGGTCCCTCTGATTAAACGACTCGATGTGAAAGAGAAGAAAGAGGGAGAAGATATATCATGATCCTGGAAGCAATATTTCACGTGCTTTACAAACCGCTTATAATCATGAAGATGGACCGCGCGCGCAAATCGATCTGTTTCAATAAAAGATTCAATATCCTGATTGGAAAGTGCGCGAACCGTACGGAAATAAAAAAAAAACATTGTCGACACGCGTGTGAATTTATACATTGATTTACGATTTTAATCGACGATCAATTTGCGGAATTCAATTTGCAACGGTACTCGTGATTACGCTGCACTGACGTGTGCAATCGAGAGAATCATATTCCGATTTTTCATCGATGATTTCAGCAGTGTTTAGAACGAATTTCATCAACTTAAAACTTATTTCTAAGAAAATGGTTTTTGGATAATTCTATACCTAAATCGTCGCACGATATGAATAACGTCAAAAGAATCAAGGCATTTGCGTTACAGACAGAAATGAAGTAGACGAGTTCTACAGCGCTATTAATAACAACTTGAAAAATAAAATATATTTCGTTATAAAGTAAAACGTGATTAACTGGACGATATTTTTTACGCTATACGGGTCGACACGTGATTATATTGATACATTGTAATGTGATACATTGAATACATTGATAATGCCGTGCTTGAGTACTAGTAGCGTGAAAAATACAACATTGCACGTGCCACATAATTCTCTCACGAGTCTCGTGCTTTGACGTGAGGCGAAGGGAAAAATAGTTCCGATAATTCGAGATTCTTGGGGGAGTCTGACACGTGCGCGTACGCGAACAAACGCCATTAGAGTGAACGAAGATCATCCCGTGTAACGCGTGCGGCGGTTCAATGAATAAAAAAGGCACACATCCGTTTCGTGCAATTATATTTCCCAAGGACGCAATTTATAAATTTATGGGATACATATAGTATAAAGATTTATTGCCAAAGTAACAAGTAATGTCTGGTTTCTTAGGAGATTAATGTGCGATTATTGTTGAAGATTAATGTGCATTTGGCGTTGTAAATATCCTTAACAAATAGACTTTCGATACGTCGGAAATAAATGTCAACGGACTTCTCGAAAAATTAGGAATTGAAAACATTTTTATCTTCTTTCTCTGTATAAATCTTGTTAATATTTGAATTATCAAGTGAGACACTTAGAGATATAATAAAGTAGCTTGTTTTATTCATGTTTGCAATTCATAATTTATAGATACAGTCGTTTTACTGGACAATAAACTGCAGTAAAATTGCAATAAGAACTATAGCGAAGTGTAATGAAACTTTTAATAGCTCATGCCACTGTATCCCCAGGTCATTCGTATTCGAACTTTGCACATTTCTTTTCTCTGTCCACATCAGTATGGTAACGCATCTAAAGCGCTTAATATGCCGCACACTTTCTACTTACGATATTAAAGTGTCTCACGGCGCTACGGGAGACGTGATATTTCATCAGAGGGTGTAACGTGACGCGTATCATGCGTCGACCAACGTTACGTGCGAAATACTTTCTTCTTCGTGCAGAAGCCGTCTCGAACGTCCCTCCGCACATCAGATGTCGTCCGGGCGTCTTCGATCACGCATACTAATGCGTTATTATGTATACCTAATAAGTAAAGGAGAAATTTCTTTCAGTCGCGGACGACTTATCACGAGCGCGTTACGTCGTCGATATTACGCGTAACCGTGCGTGGCACGCATACGATTCTTATCCGTGACGCGGCGGTCTCTCTCTCGATCGCATATTGCATCCGGAGCTACATCGTGGGACGAGATACGAGAGCGTCTTTCGTCACGGGCACTCGATCGAACAGTCCGTGCTCCAGGATGCAGCCGAGCCGTGTCTAAGTGGATTTCACGCTCGCACGAATGCGAGAGTACGTGTATCATCGCGCGGTGATGCGATACGCGAGCGGAACGAGCGTGGCACGCGGAGATTTTCTGTGTAAACGCGCGTGTTATCCATCCGTGCGAGTTGTACGGTGGCGGCCGGTACGGACCCCCCCGGCTTATCGCGACATTATTTACCCCCATATGTCGATTTATGGCCCCTCCATTAGGGACGGGTCTGCCGGGCACCGCGGGAGATCCTGCAACTCCGACGCCGAGGCGGGGGGGACCGGAATATCGTCTCTCATCGAGAGACGGGAGATTCTTGTCCTTTATCACGCCCTTCGTTATGAGTTTGTGGATGAAATATTCGTCTGACTTCCGTTACGACTGTTACCGTCCCGTATTCGTCGCGCGAAGTTCTAAATGAAATTCTAGATCAGATTCCGGATGGAACTCTCCGGCGGTAATGAGTAACGCAGGAAAATACATCCGCCGAATTAATAATTTGTTCTTGGATTACGATCGAAATTACGATACGCACGAAGAGCATTTGTCATTTTGATTTGTGTTCTTCTTTGTGTTACAGAGACACCTGGACAAGGGGAGTGATCTTGCCGAGGCGGCGAGCGCGAGCGGACTTCGCGAGCTCGCGAGATCTCTGAAGCAGCATCTACGAGGCTTCGGCTCGCGCTTGGAGGACAGGCGAGAATACCTGGAGGACACGTCGAGATGCTGCCTCCTGCAGGATCGCGCCTACGAGTGGGCGCAAGAGGCTCGCCTAGCGAGCGACAGGAGGGCCCAGCAATTCTTGATGGCGAGGCCGCCTCTACCGCCCGAACACTTCACCGAGATGATGGCCTTGGCGGAGAAACTCGGTAACGAAGTCCTCCTGGATCAATGTCGCATCGCCCGGCACAAGTGCGCGGAAGCCCTCGAGATCGCCAGGACCACGTCCGCGCCGGGGAGTCCCGCGAGGAGAAGATCTTTCGCCGCTTCCGAGTCGACCTCCTGGGACGACACCTTGGCCAAAAGTGAGGCTTCTTTCTTCCTTTAGCCTTAAGGCCGTTGCAAGAAGAATATCCACATGTTGGGATTACACATGTTTTCAGGAACGTCTTGGGACGATAGCGACAGCAGCGCGTCTTATGCTTGCCCGATGGAAAGCGTCGGGTCAGCTGGTAGCGGTGGTCGGCCGGTGCTGGACAACATCGCCGAACTTCGAGAGAGTGCCGAGCAGCTTCTGGACTGCTCGCCACCGCGTACGCCTCCGCGAAGCCCGGCACCACGGAGGCTGGTTAAGCCGCCAGTGAACTCGCACCTTCACAGATCAGCCAGTATCGCGCCAGGAATGAAGGCGAAAAAGTACGATGCTCGTACAGCTTTGACACCAATCTTTTATCTTTTATTCTTTTACCGTACTTGCAACCAAAAATTCCAAGAAAGTTAAGAATTGATATTGATAAAACCATAATAAACCTCCATTTTTTCTATATCTAACACCTTTCCTTTAAGTTTTCTTTTGGATCGAGCATTTGACTTCTCATCATTTTTAATTTGATAAAACCAATCAAAATAAAAGAAATTTTGTATTGTAAAATAGATCGGTAAAGTCATTAGTGTGTCCTAGGTGTGACATTTTATTGCTGCGTCATTGCTATTTTAATAGCGACCCATTGTTCACCCGTAATTTCCGTTATGCCATCGTACCGATTGTTATACCGTTTCTTCGTAACGTCGTTAACGAAGAATTGCACCTTGCAGAACAATACTGCTCATAATGAGGGAGATGATACAGACTGAACGAGACTACGTCAAGTCCCTCGAGTATATAATAGAGGTAATTATTATAATGTGCGCATCGTTAGAGTTTATTCTCGCGTAATTTTATTATTTATCGCACGTGCTGAGCGTAATATATGTACTTTCTTGAAGAACTATATTCCGGAACTCGTACGGGAGGACATCCCGCAGGCTCTCAGAGGCCAGAGAAACGTGATCTTCGGGAATGTCGAGAAGATATACGAGTTTCACAGTCAACACTTTCTACGCGAACTAGAGCAGTGCGAGCAATCGCCCATGCTGGTGGGACAATGCTTCCTCCGACACGTAAGCATGACTATATCGAAATTCTTGACAATTTAATCCTACACATAAAAGGGAGATATCACGTGAATAATGAATTTCTTGCAGGAGAAGAAATTTTATCTTTATGCCTTGTACAATAAGAATAAACCAAATTCGGATTCGCTGATGGCGGAATACGGCACGAGTTTCTTCAAACAGAAGCAATTAGAGTTGGGAGATAAAATGGACTTAGCTAGTTATTTGCTGAAACCGGTTCAGCGAATGGGAAAATACGCTTTGCTACTTCAGCAGCTGGTCAAAGCTGGTACAGATTTATCGGAACAATTGTCCGGCAAAGAGGAGAAAGACGAGAAGGAAGATGGCATGAAACCGATGGTAGAAGGTGAAGCGGATTTGAGGGCTGCCGAGCAGATGGTTCGATTTCAGCTTCGACATGGGAACGATCTTTTGGCGATGGATTCGCTTCGTGATTGTGACGTAAGTTTCATTTTGTTGTGCTAGAATAATAAAATAAAATTAGTAATTATCCATTTCAGTGAATATAAATGAGTATTATAATAATTTACATAAATGTATTGCACAATGCAAAAGACGTGATATTATTTCCTAGGTAAATGTAAAAGAACAAGGCAGGCTGTTGCGGCAAAACGAATTTTTAGTCTGGCAAGGAAAAGGCAAAAAATGCCTGCGTCAAGTCTTCCTGTTCGAAGATCTTATACTCTTCAGTAAGGCAAGGAGATTCCCCGATAGAAAGGTAAGATTTTCTGCATGTTTGCTCTGCGTGCATTTTAACACTATTTTATGTCTCTGTTTCATTTTTGTTACTTACATGTATATATTTTTTCAGAATCTTGATATTTACATCTATAAACATAGCATTAAAACGACAGATATCGGCTTGACTGCCGTTATCGCGGACTCGCCTACAAAATTCGAGATCTGGTTCCGCAAAAGGAAACCAGGAGATACGTACACGTTACAGTGCGCGAGTGAGGATATTAAGAAAGCCTGGACCGAGGAACTCAGCAACCTCTTATGGAAGCAGGCGCTTCGAAACAGAGGTAATTCGCTATTTTCACTTCGTTTATTAATATAAATATATAAATTTTAAAGAGGGCGAATTACTATCGATGATATTTCACTTTTTAGAAGTGCGCCTGGCGGAGATGTCGAGCATGGGCATTGGGAATAAGCCGTGTTTAGATATAAGGCCTAGTGCAGATCAGATAAACGATCGCTCCATCAGTGTGGCTCAACTCTCGAAGAGTGAGTACAATTCGCGAATTATCGAAAACCATTTGCTCATATCGCTGAATATTAAAACAATTATTTGCATTTGTCTGTATAGCACCCAGATTTAGGAACTCTATAGCGGTATCAATGACGGAGGACTCCAGTCGTTGCAGCAGAAGGCCGCACAGCGTAATTTCCGTCAGCTCATCTTCGAGCAGCGGTGGAAGCAGCGGCCCCCCTACGACGCTTAATCTTGGATTAGACACGAGTCCACGACCGCATCATCGTAGTACTACACTGAACAGTCAATGTAGCGTTGGTGAGTATTATGCTTTGATCTCAGTGATTTGATTTTTTAAGGAAATTCGACATCGATATTAATTTATTAAATGATGTTAATGTTCCCATTGCAGAGAGTGGTATTATCGCTGACATCTCAATCGTGTCTGATGATGGGGGTGACGGCACTGAAAGAAGCCACTGGAATTCAACCCTGGAGAGTCCTACGTCGCTACCTACGACTTCCACTCCACTGCAGTCGCCAACCAGCGCAACAGCGGCAACGGTTACCCCTGCTTCCTCGACGGATACGAATCTCACATCTTATGACCAAGACATGTCTATTAATCTATGAAGTTTTCTCGACACGCGAACCATCGGGAAAAAACGAGTTTATCATTGATTCACTTGCAAGTTTGTGTTACGATTACAGAGACGTAACATATTATCGTGGCATATTTAGATAGGTACAATGAGGTAATATCGTCGCACGCGTACTGTAGCACTAGAATGCATTGTATCCTTGAGCAACTATAGTTTGACAACATAATGGAGAAAAATATAAAGCCACATGCAATTCGGTAGGTCGCCGCATTACGCTTAACACGTGTGCCCAGCTACGAATTTGTAATCGCATTACATAAACGTAGATTTTTATCTTAAAGTTGCGGAAGTGGAGTACCGAATTTTGACATTTAACTTTCAAGTGAATCCGTCTGTGAATCTATCTTTTGATACGCTTCGAAATATCCACAGATTTATGAGATCGTAAAGCTATTACTTATGAAGCTCAGGTTTCTGAAGTAATGGCAACATGTATTTTCTTATTCCGTCTATTAATTTTACCAATGTGCTCAAGACGACGTGAGATAAACATGTTCTATCAAATGTACACTCACATGTCGCGGTATGCTACAGTACCATAAACGATATGCACTCGTCGCCATCCTCATTTACATTGGCATTCCTGATTACAGTGGCGGAAAATTTTGCGAAATTTCCGATGACTTACGACAGAGCGAAAGAGAGAAGAGAGTTTTATACATTTATTTATATTATAGTTAATAAATAGTAATATTTCAATTCCACATTGTGTTCGCGCTTATTGTATTATATTAAGGGAAATATATGATGATCTTAGAGAGGTATTTCATACAGAAATTGGAGAAAATATATATATTTTCCTTAATTACCATCCATTTTATCGATGCTATCTCTCAAAGAGATGTAATAAGTTGATTATGGATTATATATTCAGGAATGTCAAATCACTGCGCACACATACATACCAATTTGTAATATAATGTAATATCAAAGGTTTATACAATGTAGCCACAAGTAATATAACCGATAGTCTATATATTATTTCCAGATTATATATTAAATATATATATATATATAGATATATATATAAAATATTATATTCTTTTTATGTCAGAGTCATTTGTAAAACCTTTTATCACACGTCGTAGATGTAAATCTAACTCTGGCCTGTACTTGAAAGCCAAATTTCTGTTCTTTTTATGAAATACTATTATGTTTAAGAAATAAATTTGTTTCTATACATGTGTGGATAAATGTTTTGGAACAGCTTAGGATCAATTAGAGTGGTAAGCTTGCCTTAAGACAATCCACACTACATATTCCAATGTTCTTTTTCATAAATCAATTAATTCTACTATGCAGAATCGATCATATTACCTAACGGCTAATCGGAAAAATTTCTTGATATGATATTTGTTCTATGTTCCATATTTGTACTATTCTATGATATTTGTTAAATTATTTGTATAATTATTGTTAAAAATTGTAAAACTTGCAAGCAATTGTAAAAGATAATATTTGAGAAACAGAAAAATTAAGATCAACTTTAAATTTTTAAACCGTAGTCATTTAACTCTTTAAATTCGAGTAAATGTGAATAATAGCGGTTTATATGTGATTCTGCATCGTTACATTTGCTTTCAAATAAGTCGATTAATTAGCCATCTTCATTGCCAAGGTCTGTCAAGGTATTGTAAGTACCTTATGGATAGTGACCAAACTGTTTATTTTATCTTTTGTGTGAAGAGAAAAGTCGCAAATATTTAGAAGTGTAGTTGTAGATCATAGAGTATTACAAAGAATTTTGGCACAGTCCGATGCACCCTATTTTATTACGAATTGTATTCAAATCGCAATTTACAATAATTTTCAATAAAACGTAATTACCTATTTGTTCATCTGAATTTCAATTACATTAATATGCCATGCATACATCGGTGCACCTGGCTGAGCATCCCGAGCTTCGAAAGTAAAACTAAGCGAAAGAAAGTAAACAATCTCTATTTTCCACAATACTGTGAATACGTGTTTGGTGTTGCTTTTGAATTAGGGATGTTGGAGTAACAATAATAACAACATAGTACCTTATAAGAAAATATGCCGATAGTCACTTAATATTACATGTTCTTAGATATTTATTAATATTTTTTTAAGTAGAACATTTTAGTCTCTAGATTAAGTATTCCCATTATAAATGAAATGTATATATTACATTTAATAACACACGATTATTTCAGTATTGTACTGTGTCTAACACCGATGTATTTTATTACTTGCTAAATATACTGTATTGGGTGCCTTTTGTAGAGAACTCAAATGTTTTTGTGAACGTTATCAGACCGTATTATCTACCACGTATGTCTACCATTTCCAGTATGTAATTATTTGCCGGAATAAATATTTCGATGTTTTATATGTTTCGATTGTTTATTACAATCGCCATTTCGGCATATCGTATATTTTACGTAGTATTCTCTGCAAATAGTTTAATAATTTGCACATAATATGATTAATGCAAAGCACTTTTATATTTTATGTAGCATACACTTCTTGATTGAAGTGCGAAAAGCAATATCTTCTGAGACAATCTACGTCAAAGTGCAAAATATATAATGGCGAAAATTAAATTTCTATTAACGTAAACTTTTTTAATTATGCATTTATCAAGTCTTACTTTCGGACGTGTCCGTTTTATATTAATTCGTAGGAGAGCACTTACAAGTAGCTGCAATGTTTAAAAACTTACAGACTATGATAAGTATTTTAATAATTTAAAGCAGTTACAAGGCACGCAAGAGGCATATAAAAGTCATTATTTTATAAAAGAGACATCTCCTTATCTCTTTAACCTGATTTTAGCCGTGCATATATTTACTGTGACAAGTTCTGTGTAAAGTACAATGATCTTATAATACATTGTTAAATAGGTTACATTTTAAAAGATTTACAAGTTTGAAGACTAGTCATTTGTTTCCTTCTAGCATACAAAGTTATAAATACTAAGTCATAAAAGTTAAAAAATCTCCCTCAAAGAATTTTTAAACTACGTAGCTTTACAAAATTTATATAGTTTTTATATACAAATAAAAAACATGTCCACAAAAAATAGGAAAATGTACAAATATCTTAGCAATTTACAATTATATAACAGTGCACTTCTTTTTACGCTTAAAATTAATGTCGCCTGTCGACGAAGTCATCGTTTGTCACAAATGTTTTTTGTCTTGTTTTAAATCGTCAGGACAAGAGGCAGATTTCTTAACACTTTTGAGATCTATTGTCGATTTATCTAAACACGGTTCTTGTTTTCGCGATTCTACTTGTTTCTTTTTCAATAATGATCCTCCTGTGAAACCTAAAGATGAATAATTGCACACTATCTTTATTTCTCATTTCATCGTCTCTTATGTAATTATTCAGCTCTTATATAATTATTTCAGTATTCAATTTTAATTTTATATAAATTCATACAACTTACCTAAAATACCACAACCCACAGCAGCAAGACCACCAATTTTCAATCCAGCTAACAAACCTATTGGTCCTCCAATACATGTGCCCAGCATAGCGCCTGCTAGGGGATACGCAGCGACTTTATATCTGGAAGCCTTCTGCAGGTATTTTGCACCTTCGTTCACGTTGATTTGAGTCTCCTCAATGTTGTCTTCCATATTATCCACCATTTCTTTCTGATCCTACATGATTGCAAGAAAATATACATTTAATGATAATAAAGACTAATAAACTCCCTTTCTCATATGTTGATGATGTATGAAAACATTTAAAAACACTTGTTATTTAATTATCCCTCTTCAAATACCATGTGACACAAGGTGGAATTATATACTTACATGTACAACTTTATTAAATTCAACGAAGAGCTCGTGCAACTGTTGTATTTCCCCTTGCAGTCGATTCCAGACTTGCATACATGTCTGCTGGCGTTGCAAATCTTCTTGCTCTGCTTGCAATTGGATACCACTGTCATGAAGCGGATGCGGAAGCTCTTCTGACTCACTTACAGGCGAAGGTGATGTCGTAGGTGGTGATGTCGAAAAATTCAATTCCATCTCTATAAACGACACATTTGTATCCATATTAGTTTTCTATAATTTTATGCCAATCAAAATTAAGAAGGAGTATTATATGTTGCACTGCGTTTCTTACCTAAATACTCCTCGATCGCGCTCATGATACTCGATCGTGCATTCGTTGTCAATTTGTCAAATTTACCGATGTCAACATCGAGGACCTGTGCTCTAAGAGTGTCCATCTGGTACAACAACTCCTTCAGTTGCTTGACGATCCGAGATACATTCACATGCTCCCTTCGTACCTGTTCCCAATCCTGTTGATTCTGATACTGCAAAGATTTTGAAAGGCTCGTATCAAGGACTCTAAACAATATGAGATGTGTAAAACAGACTCACCTTTTTGATATTGTTCTTGTGTCGCTTTAACAAATTCACATGATGCGGAATGGCAACGTTAAAATTATTGATCTGGATCTCCAGACGTCTAATAGGCTGCTTGATCGTAACACTCTCCGATAACGCTGACATGTCTCTGGGGCGACGTGCTCCTCCGCACGATTATTATTCTGTGTATTTTTCTTTGTATCTCTCTGCGGATTCGAGCAACAATCGCAAAGTTCACTCTTTTCAATCCTTTTGCAGTTCTTATAGTGGAAATTTTTTTCCCTCTTCTTTGCGATAAAAAATGTCGGTCGATAATAAAATACGGTGATAATTTGGTAACTGCGTTTTATTATTTTGCCAGATCCGTTGCGTGCCTTGTCCCAAAATAAACGATCAGCTGTTGATCTACTCCGTCGTGTAACACGCGCGCACAAAAAGACTGTCAAAAAAAGACTGTGAATGTTGTCCCCATCTGTAGTCGTAAATTCGTACTAAAACGGCTACAAGTTTCAACACGACACTGTAAGATGACAGAGGATGTACCATTCAAGACTCCGAGCCCCGTATTGTTTTACTGTAATAAGAAAAAAAATTGCTAAATATTAGATTGATTACAATATGTGATTTTCTTTTTCTCATAAACCTTGTATGTTAATAAAATAAAAAATCTGTCGAGCAAATAAATATTTTTAATTATTTTTACTAATTTTTATTATATAATATTTTATTGAATTAACTTGATATTATTTGCTCGTAAAATATGATCTATCTTTGTTCATGCTGCACTTAATAATAATTGTTTAATATCACATTTTAATGCTACCTTTGGCCGGACGATCTTTAATTTTTGTCAGATTTCAGGAACAAAATGCTGTTTATAATTTTGTAAAATAAAATATATACGCTCATATTCTAACTCTTTGAGCGTTTTTCGTTTACTGCACGTACAGTTCGTAAAACTACAATTCTATTGCGAATTTCGATTTATCGCGTCTAGAGCAGCAGAGGCTTTGTTCGCAAAATGCAAACGAAATTAATGTTGCCTCGATGAACGTGTATATATTTCGCGTTTATATCGTTCGTCAAAAGTGCGCTTTTGTGCAAATGATCGCGAAATGGAACGTCAGGTGACGTGTAACATTTCACCGAAATGTCCTGTAATAACGAGCGCTAATGTGATAACGAAAAGAAGAATCGTCAAACGCGATTAATTAGCGCGCGTCGCGGCCGCGCGCCGCGCATGCGCGGCCGCGAAACTGACCCGTCGCCATTTTGGTTTCGCGCGCTTTCGCGTCGGTCGCCGGCACGCGAGCTACCCCGCGGTTTCCGCGTCAAAAAGCAGTCTCGCGTGCGAATAAACGTCGGGAGTGCCGAATAAAGTGCCGGAATAATGTGCGGTCGCCGCTAAAAGCGGTTAATCGGCGCGCGCGCGCGATAACAGGTAACGCGGGTAAACCGCCGTTTGTGCCAGGCGTTGTCGTGTCCGCTCGTTGTTGCGTCCGCTCGTTCGAAATCGTGCGTTTGACACGTACCGTCAATAACATAATCGGTTGATCGTCGCGTACACACCTTTACAGCCGTTTTCTCGCTACACCGCGCACTGCGCAATCGCGCGGGTATTAAATTAAGTGGCGGCCGGCCCGTCGGACAGATGAATTAATTCATCAGGTATGTATAAAATACATGTATATGTAATTGTAATTAGGCTCTGAATTGTGAATAACATTGGCAATAAGACATTAACATTGTGAATTCTTTCAAGTCGAAATGTGCGGAGCTTGATAAGCGGGCAATGGTTTCCCGAGGAAGCGAAAATCTGCCTCCTGTTTCTTAACCTCTTGACTGCCGATGACGAGAATTCTCGTCATTTTGGACTTTGCGTTTAGTGTCAACAGAATGCATCTTCTCGTCATGAAATTAATGACTGAAACAAGGTACGTACATTTAAGAGTTTTTGGGTGTGCTGCATATGATTTTAAAGTTATATTTGAACAAAATATGTTTAAACAGTTTGATGATAGTTTTCATAAAGATTTCTGACATAAATTATTTTAATTTGACTTGAAATTCGTTATCAGCACCATCAGAAACCTCTCTACGTCATTCATTTTCGAGAATCTTTCGTTTTTAGTATTTTAGGACTACTATTTTAAGACTCCATGTTAAATGGCAGTTAAAGGTCTGATATACGTATGATATTTAATTGTGAAAGTTTAATAAGCTTTTTTAATATAAAGAAAGTATTCCGCCCCGATAAGAGGGGTGGAATACTTGCGGGATATGAAAGGGGCATTAGTGTTTGTGAAAGTATGTTTAATGTTAAATACACGGTATAATTACTTTGAGAAAAAAAGTTGTTAACTTGACTAAATATTTTCAACTAATTATTATTTTTTTAATTGAAATATTTATGTATTTAAATTAAATACGATATATTAAATCTAACATGACATAATTTGACTCAAATACTTAAATACTTAAATTAAAAAAATAATAATTAGTTGAAAATATTGAGTTAACAACATTTTTTTCTCAGTATGCGAAATTTTCGTGCCACCTTTCGATATTTGTGCATCGACGTGAAAGAACTCTTAGATTCAGTTTGTATCGTTTTAAATTTTAACGAACAACACGCCGGAGATGCATAATCTATCGGAAACTCGTAATAAAGGTTCGGAAGGGAAGCCGCGAGTGGTGGATGCATGAATTTCACGAGAGTCGATATGTCGATTTACCACGCATTACCTCTGACACACAATCCATTTCCGCGAATTAAAGATTCGACGTGAACGGCATGGCACCCGAAGGTTCCGCGTACTTTTATCCCGCGTTCGCCGGAAGTTATGGGCAGCACGCGCGCGAGATGTATGCACGCGGGATGATCAATTATGCGCTACTCTGCGACTTCCGTTGCTCGATGTGCGTCCCGATGAATTTTACAAGGGTCGCCGAATGTACAATTTGGTATAAAGCCCGGCGAAGCTTTTGGTAATGAAAAACCGATTGCGATCAAATAGGCTCCTGGGCTGCTGGTGACGTGTAATCGAGTCTTCTCTTCTGTCGCTTCGCCGTATCCACCCCCCCGCCCTCCCCTCCTCGGCCTCTTTTTGTCCTCCCTTTCGTCCTCCTCTCCCCTGTCCATCTCGTCCTCCCTCTGTCCCTTGATTTTCCTCCCTATTCCACCCGTGCTTCTTCCTCCACCCATGATTTCTCCTCCGGCTTCCATTAGCCGCCATACGTCGTCTGTACACAGAGATCCGTTTTGTCCTGCTTTCGCGTGACCTTTTATTTCAAACTACCGCATTCAAATTACCGCGGGCTATCTGGATATTCGATCCTTTGACCTTTTGTCGCCGGACGTTTAGAAGCGCTTTTAAACACCGGCCAGGATTTTCTCCGTCGTTCACCGCCTACACTTATAGGCCGTGTTAAATACAGAATAAAGGATAATTCACCTTTTTCTTGAATTAATTTTAATTATTTAATGAGCATGTATACGTCTCTCATGTGTACGTGATTTTATTTCGCGTATACAAAGTGTCATTCATCTTCTTTGAGACAGTCTGACTTCTTCAGTGGTTCGCTTTTAATATTCACTTTTAGCTTTTAGCATATTTCCTTTAATGTAATAAAAAATAATAAAAACCTGGAAATTATTTAATTAACATGAATGTAATGGAAAGTTGCTTTTCTATAATACTCTTATGATTTTATCGTCGCAAAGGTTTAAATTCTAAAATGCATTTTAATCTTGTTGTTTCTGACTCTATAGCATATTCGCAAATTCGGTAGAAGATCCGCGAGAAATGTTATTCTAATCTCAAAAGAAAAATATATTAAATATTGCAGAAATACATTTTTTTTAATCTACTCTAAAATTGGTTTAATTTTTATAGCTGTTATATATTGCAGGATCCATATATTGTAAATTATTGCATTTTTATTAATAGAAACATGAATTTTTCATGTCGACTTGTTCATCAACCATATTGAGCATGAGGGAAATGTTAGAAGGCAATTAGATTTTAATTTTATATGAAGAAGTAATTAAGATTGCGAGATATTAAGTTTGCGGACATTTCTGCTATTCGAACTGCCTTGGCTCGCGTATCGTAGATATGTGATGTGAAATTAATTATATCTGACATCCCCGTGAGCCGGAGAGAGGGCGACGATCGCGCTTTGTCTCCTCTCGTTCGTTAATTAGGGAATCCGAATCCGGAGTCTCTAAGGCGCAGGTTACGTATAAATTCGGAAGTAGCGTTATCTCGTAACAAAGTCACGTGCCTGGCGTACGAATGCAGCCGCACTAGGCTAGCAATGGTTAGGAACTGTCTCCGTTTATATTTACCGCGTTCTACTTATTTAAATATAACGCAAAACTCATTTCTTTATTATTAGCAATATAGGAAAATGTACATAACACAAGAACGACTGTTAACTTTTCACAGTCCAGGCTTTTTTCGGTGAAATACAAATTTTAATTAATTTAACACGTTGATCTATACCTTCACGCAAATATTTCTAGAAATTATACATATGTTGATTACTTTAATAAATCTATGTTAAAAACGAATGTTGAAAATACTCACAAAACGTATCAGTTTGACGCAAGCTTATATCTTTTACTACATTTGGACTTGGTTAGGAACCTCACCGATCTGATTGCAGACCAACACGCTGCATTCTAATGGTAGCGCCTTCTTTTTCCTGTGCATACAAAAGCGTTGTGATTCCTTCATCTTTTTTCTTACGTTTATTTCTTTTAATAATTAGCTCATTGATATTCCGAAGTGACATTAATCCCGAACTGCAGAAAAATCATAGTCTCAGTCTGATTTCATTTGGAATACTGAAATTGTGGATACATATCGTAAATACATATGTTAAATAAGCAAGCAAATGTATCGAAATACCCAATTATTGCATAATTTGTACATGTTATAATTGGGTTGTATTAAAGAAGAACTTGAACTATAATATAATAATAATACGGATAATATATAGTAATAATATTCATATTAATAATATTAACGACAAAATAGAGATAGATATTGAAGTATACGCTTCGTAACTATTTCATACTGCCGGCGACAGCTTCACGAATAATTTAGTACACAGCGCAGCTACATGGTGAGGCGTTAATGACGCGACATCCGGCTGGAGAGTAATAGCCCGCCCGAATTAATTCTCTCGGCTGCATGCTTTTAGCAAAGTAGATTTTATTGCCGTCTTGCATTCGTGCGACGAAGTCGCCAAATTATAGTTGCGTAACGGCACCGTAGTTAAACATTGACCGTTTAACTAATCCTTGCCACAGTTACGTCCCGCACGATAATGTCCTACCGCGCGACACACACTCGTATTCATATTCAAATATTTCTCAGTGCATGACAGTATAATTTTGCACCGCGTATAACCACCGTCGATATTGCGGTCCCCGCAATCAAATTCACGTTCTGTTACATACACACACACATAGACACACACTTACATACACACATACACGTGTATACGAGTTAATTAAACAGAAACTTTTTATACAACGAATTTCCGCGAAATGACTCTAGGACAAGTTCGATAGTCCGTCATCACGAATTATCAATATTGAAGTTTATGTCCAATTTTCCGACGCAAAAATTCCTAGCGTTTTCGATAACGAGTTTACCATTTTGGCCAAACCAAACGGCGAATTGTGAAATCCAACGTAGCCGCGACGACTCGTGTTGTCATTTGTGCCATTTGCACAAATTTTGCCATTCGAAATGGATTTCGCCATCCGTATGTGGAATTTATGGAATAAAACTCGTAGATGGTTTCACAGTTTATGAAACTTTTGGTCGTAATGTTATCCTATCGATTATCTCGTTGTCATCAGAATCGCTCATACCGTGTTACGCGGTGCTTTGTATTTTTTTCAAATCTGCGAATTAATTACTTTATCGCGATAAACTGCGTAAATAAAAAAATATTCTCGCGACAAACATAATATCCTTCTTTCGTGATCATTAACATTGCAGATATTGATGAATGTTGTCGGTGGCAGATTTCTCGAAACGAATAAGTCTTATTCCGCATGATTTTCAGAGAAAGCAGGTAGATTTCAATCAATGTAGATTTAATGTCGTTTGCGAGAACTGATAGGCGCCTATTGAATATAGAGGTTGTATCGGCAGACTGCACCGATACTTTATGCGGGCGTTATTGAAATATCGCTGCTGGAAGAAATATTGCGTGGCGCGCGTTCTAAATCTTCCTAATACCAAAAGCGTGATGAGATTGCAGATTACAAAACCGGTTTTTACCAATGATACATCGCAGATCATTATTTAATAAAATCTTTCAATATCTGCTGACCGATTAATTATTTTATTCAGCTTTAGAAAGAGAAAAATGCGCGAAATATTTTTAACAGATTGACGATGATAATTTATTGCTTTTTCGTATACAGCGATGTATTTTGTTAAAAATGTAATAACTAAAATGTTTCTTTTATTACGGAAATAATCGTGCGGAACGCAATTTATATCCCAGAGGTCGAAAATCGAGGAAACATTACTGTTCTCTCCGTTCAAGCTCATAGGAATTACCAATACAATTTTACGCTTTATGATTAATTAAACAAATTAAATTATTATTAGGGTATTATGCACTTCCCTGATGCTGACAGGAAAGAATGTAACTTGTCATGTGCAGTGTGTAACATGTATAATGATGCATGTATTAGGAATTGGAGTAGAAAATACGTGATCATCGATGCTATTAAAAGTCGTATGTTCTCAAATGTAATTATATTTTTTAATATAAAAAATTAATTTGTATGCAATCTCTCTCATGTGGATTTTTTAATTTATTAATTTTTTTGGAAAATTCTAATTTCTACCACAATAATTAAAGAAATATTATCTTTATTATAATATTCTTTGGATTGAAA